GGTGGGATGCTGGAGACCGAAGAGTGGTGGTGAGCACTGACACCGAGGCTCCGCCGCTGTGGTGGGAGGTGGAGACCGGAGAGGTGGTGAGCACTGGTACCGGGGCGCCGCCGCTGTGGTGGGATGATGGAGACCGAAGAGTGGTGGTGAGCACTGAAACCGAGACTCGGTCACTGTGGCGGGATGCTGGAGAGCAGTGCAGGGCACCGTGGCCGCCGCCCCGTCGTTGGCACCCAGCAAGTGAAGAGTGGTGCTGAACACTGGTGGAGCGGGAAAGCCGGCCCTCAGTCACTGCGGCTCGAAGAGCGGGGAAGGAGGCGACCGTGCGTACTTAATGTGGATCTGTCGCCTTGCCAACAGACCTATTCGCATTGTCAGCACCTGCTTCCTGGGAGCCGCATTTGCATTGTGACTTTCAACCAGCGTTGATCCTTATCATTGGTCTCGGAACGGCACATTGGTTGGGCGAAATCCATAAATGGATGAGGCAGAGTGCTCCCTTCAGCGATATCTGCATGTTGAAGGTGCCGAGATGAGCTCATTGCATGTGTCGCCCGCGATCTCAACGACATCCCTGATCGCCGTCAGGCACTTGACATCAAGTGGACAGAAGCTCAGAATGTTCAGGGGCTGTTTGCTGCCTCACTCCCCGCGTTGTGATCTGTTGCGATGTGATAGTGATTCGAAGGGTATTTACCCCTATGCGGTATCTTAAGCCCCGGCAGATCCTTGCAGGGATGGGATAGTAGGATGGGATATAGATGGGATAAGTGCATGGATTGAGATGATGAATGATGAATGACACGGATAAGAATTTGACTGGTTTTGACAAATGACAAACAAGTGGCTTGGAGCGGATTAAAGACCTTAATGTCGATTTAAGGACATGTTAAAGGTGGCTGAACTATGACACATTGACACGATTGTGTCAGGATGTATCCTAATTGTGAGAGGCGTTACCAGATCAGATTTGAATTTTGTGAGTGCGTAGATCAGCGTGTGGATTGTAAAATTCCAAATGGCCTAAAATTGGATTGAATAGGACTGAATTCTAAGAATCTCATAGATAAAGAACTCTGCCTGTGAATGGTGGGTTGATGAGCAAGTGAACAGGTAGCTTATGATGTGCCTATTGAAGCATCAGACGCTTACTTCTGAACTGAACGTGTTTTATTTTGGTGAAACGAGCCCTTTTCGTGGCGACGTACATTATTCGTGCTGTGTCATTATGGCGTGTAATTATTGACAAGAACCGCTTGTCCTAGCGCTTTTTAAGATTTGTATTATTTCACACTCTATGGCATCGAAATATTTTCCTAGTTGGTTGCTAGCTAGCACACGATTAAGAAATGCCGTTTCATCTCGACTTCTCAGTCTCTGCCGTGCGGATCTTTTCACCAATCAGAAGCCGATCTGGCGACAGCAGGCGCGCCCGTCGGATGCGATCGGCCGTCGCGTCCGCCTGGCTCGGACAGACCCGGAGCCCGCCCACGGCGCCGGTGACATCCGCTCACGGGAGCGCACCAGTGCGTCCACGCGTCTTCCGCTCTTTCTCTGCGGCTGCACCTCAGCTCGGGTGGATTTCCCACGCAGCAGCCGCACGTTAAGACACGGCGTGGAGCCTGCGTGCAGCGGCGCGGTGCACGTATGTCACACCGCAGGTGCCACACAGCTGACGGTGCCCACCCCCCCCCCCCCTTCAGTCGTGCTCAGCCGCTGCCCTCTCGTTCCGGCTGCGCGTCCCGGGCGAGCGCGGCGACCCGTCCAGACGCCAACGGCGTCGTAAATCACAGCGCTTCCGCGCGACGCCGCCGCGCGTCCGGGGACGGCTCGTCTCGGCGCGCTGTGCCGCTGCCGTGGACGGCTCGTCCCGGCGTCCTGTGCCGCTGCCGTGGACGGCTCGTCCCGGCGCGCTGTGCCGCTGCCGTGGACGGCTCGTCCCGGCGTCCTGTGTTGCTGCCGTGGACGGCTCGTCCCGGCGCGCTGTGCCGCTGCCGTGGACGGCTCGTCCCGGCGCGCTGTGCCGCTGCCGTGGACGGCTCGTCCCGGCGTCCTGTGTTGCTGCCGTGGACGGCTCGTCCCGGCGCGCTGTCCCGCTGCCGTGGACGGCTCGTCCCGGCGCGCTGTGCCGCTGCCGTGGACGGCTCGTCCCGGCGCGCTGTGCCGCTGGCATAGGCGGCTCGTCCCGGCGCGCTATGCCGCTGCCGTGGACGGCTCGTCTCGGCGCGAGGCAGGCCACGCCGGCGTCAGCAGCGTCTCCGCCAGCCTGCGGTGACGCCGCAGCCGCAGCCGCAGCGTTCGGGTCTGCTCTTCTGCCCTTGCCAGAGGCGGCGGATCGGCCGGGGCCACCGCCGCGGGCGGGCCGGCCGGCTGCCGTGGCGCAGTGGCCGTCCGTGTTGACGGGTTACCGGAGCGGACGGCCTCAGCTGGGCCTGATCGGCGGCTGATGTACGGCCACCTGCGGCTGCCGCGTCTAGCAAGCAGTGTTGATGAACGATCGCGAGAGAACAACCCTCCAAAAGCCGTCCGTCCAAACCTTTCTTTTGGTCCAGAATGCAAGGGAATAAGCATTAAAGATCTTTTTAAATCCAGAAATGTGCTAAGCGCTTGACCAAACCTATTCGCAGTATGCAGCACCCATTTTATGTGGAGGTCCAAGCTATCAAAAATCAAAGATGTGATGTGGGATTCGCCATTATTAAAAGGGATTGCTGCACATTTGTACGGGGTTTTGGACTGAAAAGCTTCCTTGGAGATCACTCGCTGCAGGTCACAGACCTGCCCTTCTTAAGACTTAAGGCCTTCTGGTTTCTGAGCTACACGCCTGCGAAGATTGCACAAACTATTTCAGGAAGACTGTTAATATAATTATGATGACACGGTTGTTATATTGTATCAAATATATATATATATATATATATATATATATGTATATCTATATATATCTATATATATACATCTATACATATATATATATATATATATATATATATATATATATATATGTATGTATATATCAGTAGTTACAAGTGAGCTTATTTCATCATCGTTGATGATTGCTATATCTTAAGATGCGGCACATTTTCTTTCGGTACATTTTTGCTAGAGTTTTATCAGAAGAACGACCAACGTATTTGGCTGATGCGCAACCGACGTAAGGGCCTGGAACACTAATGACCTTATGGCTATTTTTGCGGATGACGGAATATTCTTTGTGAGGTAGAGGTTTTTTTGCTCACTGCAAGACGTTAGAGATACACCATAAGTGCATGGTGTTGTAAGACTATGTGCACGTTATAAGGTGATGTCTTCCTGCTTTATTATTACTAAAATGGCAGTATACAACCTTCCGCCGTTTGAAAAAATTGTTACACTGTTCCTTTGGGTCTTCCAAACGTATAATCCGTTTTGTCTGTTTTTCTTTAATTCCGCACCTGACGCTTGCAGGCTGCCGGCTGGCCGGGCTGGTAGACGGCTCGTTAGTCAGAGGTGCTGGGACGCGCCTGTGGCGTGATATGTGGACCCCGAGCCGCTTCAGAGCGGCGGCCGGCCGCGGCCAGGCCGGCACCAGGCCCGGCACTATATTAAAATACAGACGGCCGCACGTGTTGCCGTTGGGGGCCTGCCAGACCGTCTATTATAGTCGGGTCGGTCGCACTCGCACCGTCCAGTGCAGGTGTCCAGCGGAGGTCTGGGGATAAGTCGTGCAGGCGTGTTGAAATTGGAACTGCCATCAGCCAGGCCTGGTTTTATGAAGCAGTCATAAACTTGAAACGAGCTTTCAATGGCTTAACAGTTTTCCGTCAGTGGAGCCGTTATTGGTTCCTTTGAAAAGTCCCTGCAAGGGGCTGCATAGGAAAAAACAACCTCACATGACTTTGGCGTCGTGACTAGGGTAGAGTCGCAAGCGTCTTCCCTACTTCCGCTTCTTCCGAGTGTCTTATCCATCGGGACGGATCATCAGATTTGCGTCCCCGTCCCGCGTCATTCGTCGCCTAGTGCTAATACAAACACGCTTCTCCAACGTCTCTGAATTTTACAGCGACCTCTTCAAGGTCCCGGCTAAATGAAGGCAGCTCTCGAATGTTTACTGAAGTGTGGACTCACTCTGGAATCACGAGCACGGCTTGGTTCAGTTATGTCTGATCCGTGTTTATTTGCTGTGCGGGGTTTATGTGATAAGGTTTTCGATCGACGACGGATGCATGTCCTCGAGCCGTGGCGGGAGAGATCTCACTCGGGGTTTTCCCATGCCGGAGCGGTACCTTCTAAACAATCCAAAGAAAAAAAGAGATCGATGGGAAGCTGTGGTGGAGAGCCGCCGCAGTGGGTCCGGCGGTGTTTGAACTCATTTAAATTGAAGCAGGGGACAGGCAAATAATAGAAGTGAAACGAAAGACATCCACAGCATCAGTAATGCATACTAAACACGTGCATAAAGATATATGGCTATGAGTAGTACCCACATCTAAAATCAGCAACCTTCTACAGACTGTATCAATATTTGGGTACATTCTTACTCATCATGTGCATGTATGGGCTCATTCAGCTGATCACGAACAGAGCAGTGTTCCACTTACGGGTAGTCATTATGTAGAACACATCAATCAGTCCAGGGCCGCTCGCATGTGAAAGTGACAAATACGTAAGTGAGGCAAGTGCATGTATGTGAAATAATTGCATATGCCGGAAATGATTTCAAAGCTGAGTGGATGTGGTCGCATTATAACCAAGACTCACCAGAATGCCATTTTTGAAAAATAAGAGAAGCCACGAATGTCAACCGCGTCATTCACCCGCGTATTCCATTGCCACGATCTTTCCGTCTGCTTTCCACATGTGGTCCTTCTATTTTCCGCTCCGATTCTCAGTCTTTGTGCTCTTTTCTGTGTAGTTTGTCTATGTCTTACACGTGCAATGTCAGTCTGTGTTCACCTACGTGTGCTCCATCTGCTGTGCTCGCCTGTTTCCGTGCTGACCTGTGCTCCGTTGCTTGGCAGGGGGCGCGTCGCAGCTGGCTGAGGACGAGCAGCTGGTGTACCCGGAGGAGCAGGCTCTCTACCCTCTGGACGTACAGATCACCTCCAGCTCACAGCAGCTGACAGTCCAGGAGGGTGACAACGTCCGGCTGCCCTGCCAGTGGGAGGGCACAGGTGGGTCAGCGGTTGCTCCACCGGTGGGAGGGCACAGGTGGGTCAGCGGGGCACAAGTGGGTAAGCGGCTATCCTGCCAGTGGGAGGGCACAGGTGGGTCAACGGCTGCCCGCTTTCTAACAGAAAAAGGGAACACGCCGATAGGCGCATCTAAAAGATATGTCTTCGAAGCTCGACGAGAGGTTCGCAATACAAATACGAGCGGTTTGCAATGCTCTGAAATGTATTTGGGGCTCTGTATAAGAGCATTTTGCAAGGCTGCTGCGTGATAAGAATGAATTGTAAAGAAATTGCGAGGCTTATCCATGTAATTGAACGGTTTTTTTCAAGATAATATCTATCTAGGTTAGTGCAGGTGCCTGCTCTTCATAAGACGCAATTGGTTGTACCTACCGATGCTACTCTAAATGAAGGACATAGCTGGAAGGTGCATGATCGGAGCCTGAATGACAAAAGAGCAACAGAAGTAGTGATTAAGGAGAGTTATAATGTATTACATAAAGTACGGTTTGCATCTTTAAATTATTTAACATATAGATAATGGGACGTTTCCCTCCCACAGTATAAATAATGCACACATAGCTGGTGCTGGCTGGTCTTAAGCCCGCATAATTACCTGCAACTGCCGATATTGCTCAATACGTTTTAAGGTAGCTTCACTAGCATTATAGCAATGTTTAATACAAAGATAATGAACGTCTTTGAAGACATAATGCATGATCTTTGTTATAGGGTGGTCCGAGTCCTTGTACACGATACCCGACAGACAGCATGCGTACCTCGTTTCAGTTTCTGACGTCGTCGTACTATGGAAGAAGCTGCCAAGCATGATACTGTTCACGGACGTGATCAAGATGTCCGTGGACAATCGAATAAAGCTGGGCAACAACAACGAGCTCCTCATCGAAGGTGTCAAAGCTGAGGATAACGGCACGTACGTGTGCGCGTTGACGCTGTACCCGGACCCGCTGGAGCTGCATCACACCGTCACCGTGCAGAGTAAGTCACGTGGTGCAGCTCGGATGTGGTCGGCGGCTCCTTACCTACCGATATTCCGGCCCCTCTGTGAAGCGACAGCGCCGATAAATATTTTTGTATGTCCCCTCCTACGTTCTCAGTTTGCATACCGGCTATATTCATCGCTCGTCTCCAGATGACCCCGGTAGCGAGGCTGGGCGGGCGCCTGTCGCTGGGCTGTCCCTGTGACCAGGCTGTGATGCGGACGAAGCGGGTCTCGTTTCAATGAGCTGCTGTAATGCCGCTAACGTGCCGCGTGACAGTTTTGTCACGGGCCAAGCAAAGTAATCGTCTCCGAATCATCAGCTTATCATCATCTTGTCATCCGGGCTCGTTGTGTGCCCGCGCGTGCAAAGCGATTTGCAGCTGGGGGTGGACCGTCTGGCCGTTCAATTTCTTCGGCCTGTCAAGCTTATGCAATCTGCCTCTTTGTGCAACTGATGCATGCTGTCGGGCTCAAAGGACAAGGAAAGGAACCATACAGTGATGCGGCAATGTTTGAAATAGTGCATAGTTCGTGCTAGTTGAATTTTTCAAATTTGATAGGCCATCCCACTTGTCAGCATTCATACTATTTCAAGTATGTATGAATGCTGTTGGTTGATATTGCCTTTTCGGGTGGCGTTGCGTGAGACCTGACGACCGAAGTGTTGCATGCGTCTCTTTGTCCAGCCAACACCTTTATCCTTCTGCACCGTGCTGAATACTCCGCGGCTATTAAATGTGCCATGCTCCGCAGGACCGGCCAAGCTGCACCCGATGGACAGGGACCACTTCCAGGTGCCGGAGGGGGACAGTTTCGAGCTGGTGTGCCAGGCGGATGGCGTACCGCGTCCCACCGTCTCTTGGTCCAAACTGGTGAGTGGTGTCAGTCCCTCGTCCCCCGGTCCAAACTGGTGAGTGGCGTCAGTCCCTCGTCTCCTGGTCCGAACTGATGAGTGGCGTCAGTCCCCCGTCTCCCGGTCCAAACTGGTGAGTGCTGCCTGTCCCCCGTTTCCTGGTCCAAATTGGTGACTGACGTCATTCCCCGTTTCCTGGTCCAAACTGGAGAGTGCTGTGTGTCCCCATCTCCCGTTTTTATCGTTCCAAACCAGATGTCCTCTCCTGCTTCTCTTCCAGACAAATGAACCTTAGCTATCCCCTAGTCCCGACTGACGGCCGCAGGTAGAGCTGGCTTATCACGACGGCTTCTGCCGATGCACGCACCGTCAGGCTCAAAAGACGCGGATCAAAGCATCCTAACACCATCGCGTGGTCCACACCAATCCGGCCCGCACCAGTTCCTAGGTAGCACTGACTCACCGACAGACCGCCTGTCCCGGGGTGGCCTGCGGCCCCGGCTGGTCTGCCTCGGGCCAGCCCCGCAACGGGCCATCTCGGTAGGTGTCTGGTGCAGGATGGCTCGTTCAGACGGACCCTAATGGTCCGCGCCCAGCATGCGTCCTTTCTGCACCCGGCTACCGGGACCGGGAGGGCCGCCCGATACCTGCCCCATGCCTGATCACTACAGCACCCGCACGTGTTACGTGCCAGGGAGTCCCGAAGTTAGCCAAGCATACTCACGCACGTGGAATGAGTTCGCGTGCTCCTATGTACATATATTTATGACGCTGTGCACATGGTGTAGACGCTTCAGTGACATGATTTGGCTGCGATGCAACGGCTACTGGAACAGTCGTTTCCACGTAGTGGGTAGCTCCGGGGACTTCACAGCCAACCCCCGTGCCCTGTATGGACCCGTGTCTGGAATGTCTCGTGCGTGCAGCTGCCGCCGGTGTGACGTCAGCTGTGCTCTTGCACATATGCTGAGCCGCGGGGCTCGCAGTCCTCCGTGCGCTGGCATCCGATAGGTGCTATGTCGTGCTTCCTCTTGGCACGCGGCACTCACGAGACTGTCGGACGCGCTGGCTCGCTCCGCCGGACGGGCGGAGCGGTCAGCGCTGTCCCGTCCGGCCCGTGTTCCCCACACGACTGCCGCCGGCCGGCCAGTGACGGGGGCTCGGCGGCCGTCTGCCGGCGTCACCGCCCATCGCTCGTCCCGCGCGCCTCTGGGCCGACTAGCGGGTCTCTGTTGCATGTGCACATCGCTCACGGGATGCTCGTACTACCTCGGCCCCCACAGTGGAACTAACTCCCAGCTGGGTCGCGACGTGCCAGACTCTGCACCACAGGGGTCACTTTATATACCTTTGGGGGGCTGAACCCCATCCCCAATGCTCATTTGAGCCCCTCAATGCCCCTCTGAGCCCCCCTCTCCCTCCCTGATGCAAATGAGCAAAACAAAAAATATTGGGTCAAAGAAATGCAGATTTCTGGCTGTCTGCAAGTGATTGTTTCTCTAGGCATCTAGACACGTTACCTAGAATCGTGTTGCATACGCACCAGAGAGTAGCCGGTAGGTACACATGTCACGTTTTTGTCATGCCCGATATCTCGAACGTCACGCCAGTCCGCAAGCATTAGCAGGTTCCTCACAAGATAAGACGGATGGATCAACAAAACATAGGCTGCGATATGTGTAGTACAGTACAGGGGTTCAGGTAAAAGTTTAAACGTCAAATCGGACCAACAAAAGATGGTCCAGATGGCCCCCGGCGTTCCAGGAAGCTTAACAGCATAAAGCAAATGCTTCACATTCGACGAAATGGAGGGAAGCATCACCTTTAATAGAAAAGGCTCATTTGTGACCCTGACTATGCTTTACGTGAAAGGACCTCTCTAGATAACAAAAATTTCGTTACGTAATAAATAAGTTCCTCAATGCACGATCGTTTGATTACGTCATGAAACCTTCTTTTGATGGCTGAGTCCCTGCCAGACTTGCCATGTCAGAATTGCTTCTGTGGTGGACGGGCTGACACACTTGTAGTACTTCAGCGCGTTGCAAGGTGGCTTGTTTATTTAAGCGCTGATAGTAAACCCGACTTTTGTCACGCGCGCGTGTTTTGGGCCTTTGTCATGGTGTTCTCATTTATTTGTCCGTGATTTATACCTTTTGCTTGTATTCTTATTCTCGGTTACGGCGCTATTCTTAAGTCATTCGATTCCCAGCTGCATGTCCGTTAGAACTCAAAGGAGTGTCCAATAGCCTATATCACGCATCACAAAACGGGTTTGTTATCGAGACCTGCATTCACCGGCTCAAGCTGATTGAAATCGAACTGCTTTCTGTTAATAAGGTGATTCGTGCTGACGCACTCCAGACAAGGATAAGTAAATGGTGACATTGTTATGTAATTGAACAGTATGGCTATTGAGGACGTCTGAGGGATTTTGAAATAGGCGGCGAGAAATGGTTTGGACAAGTTTGCGTGCTTTTAGGTCAGGAATGAGATAAATTTTAGTTTTGAAGAGCGCATAACTTAGAATTGCATGGGATTATCTTGAACCTGCCTTAGTTAAAACCGTTTACAAGCACGATGCTGTTCACGGGCAGTATCATGATCAGATCGGACAGATCAGACATATCTTGCTGAGAGTGACACGTCCCATCCTAAGTCTGAAGAGCCTAAGCGCTCTGAGGTGGTGTTGACAGGATCCTCGTTATCGTCCTCAAACAAGCCTCTTCTGTGGGGTTTCGATTCGACAATTCTGGGATCATGCCTTGCGCTAAGCAGCGCTGGTTCGTGACCGCCATTCGATCGTGAAATTGCCGGTCAGCGGCAGAATATTGCGGCTGATGCTAACGTGCCGCAAGTCTCGGCATGGTCCACATGCCCTCCGGCGTTACCTGTCCGTTAGCGCAGCCACTGCCATTGACCACAGGCCTTCCCAGTCAGCGACAAATATCGATCAAATATAAAGTTTTTTTGTTTTGACACTGGGGAGGCTAGCCAAAATAACCGAAATCCAAAGATAAGTCGAGTTTTGGAGTCAGGATAGCTCCGCGTCATCGGCTCAGTTCCTCCCCTGTCCCCACCCAACCACACACGGACTTAAGAAAGTGGCATCCCTGCTCTGCACTTCACATTTTACTCCTGCAGAGGGTCGACCTCGGTGCCAAGGCAGGGGCGGCCGCCAGCCAAGATCCGAGCAAATATTTATTCCTTGAGCGAAATCGCCACGTTTGGTGGCTTTAAAGCCACCGTGCAAGGTCTGTCAATGTTTCTAATGCATCAATGCTGCACATAGAAAGAGTGCTCGCTTATCCAGCCCCACTAGGTCACAACTGATGCACAAAATGGTGAATGCACAAGGTGATTTGCTCCTGCAAAGCACAAATCCATTTTTGCAAATGTTGCTTTATGATCGGATGTGTTGGTAGCCGTCCGGCCTTGGCCTCTGTTAACTACAAAAGTTACTCTGGGTTGCCTTTCTCGCGAGTGACAAAGCGTGCCGGTCATCGGTGAGAAGCATCTCACGCTAATTGCAGCAGAAAACTAAAGCGTAGTCATTACATCGTTCTATAAGCCACGGCCCTTCGGCCGCTAGAGATGCATCTATTTGGGCGCCATGATGACCAATGGCCGTGGTAATGATCTAGCTAGTCTGGTCCCCGCACCGGAAGCCGCGGCTAAACATCCACCGCCTGGTTATCAGGTGGCGCGTCGCCGGCGCGCCACGTCTGCCGCGGCCGCTGACGCGACGGCCACCGGGCCCCCGACAGTCCCGCGGCCGGCCGGCGTCGTCACGCACAGTCTGGCACGCGCCCTGGCACACTCACTAATTGCCGACCGACCGCGACTACGTCCGTTGGCTGCCCGCTTTACGTGTGTTTTGGCTTTATTTCAGCGTGTTGAGGATACCGAAGGACCCTATTTTGACAACGGAGATTTTCTAGCGACAACTAGTTTACCAGAGGTATGCTTGCTTTATTAACTGTTGTCGTTGGTAAACGGCCGGCGAATTTTCCTTTTGCCAGCTGGGGAGCTAGTCGTGCTTGTGGCGTCAGCTGACTCACCGTGCGGTGAGACGGCATGAAAGTCGTGATGTAGCCTCACAATATCTCTGTCGTGCTGCAGAACCATTTTCCGCTTTAGAAACCGTTAGTATTTGGCAAGTTTCATGTTTACGCTCGCTTTCTATTTCCCCCGTATCAGCGAGTACATCGGACTCTTGCTTTCGTCGGGGTACATTTTTTCTCTCAGTTCAACGGACGGGCATTGTTGGCGTAGGAAAAGTTAACGGAATGACCCGGCAAATATTCTAGACGAGGATCGCGTGCAATTTTGACACGGATGGTTGATATGACCTGACCTGACCTGACCTGGTTCGTCCGGCAGGGCGACGACCTGGTGTTTTTGCAGGAGGACTCGTCCCGCGGCGTGGCGTTCACCATTGACAGAGTGGAGCCACACGACACGGGCACGTACACGTGCACGGCTCAGAACGGGATTGGTCCGCCGGACGTGCTCACCACGCGGCTCGAGGTGGTCCGTAAGTGCCCCCCCCCCCCCCCCCCTCCTCTCCCTCTCTCTCTCTCTCTTTTTCTCGCCGTGTGCAACGGGCATGTCATTCCGGCTGTTGCATTGTTCGTTGAACTTTGCAGGGTGACCCCAAACTGCACGTTGCTGAGCGCATTTGCGTGTCCTTTCGTTCTGCAAACTAAGGACACGTTTCGGCCGTCGTTGCTTGTGGGGCGATTCTGGTCGAACTGAGGGCTATCTATACCCGTGCGACGTGCCTGCTGCGACTTCAGCACCCCCTGCCTTCCCTGCCTTACTCCCCTAGCTCACCAACGTGCGCGCCTCAAAGCCGCCCCCATCCGGCCCTGTGTGCCTGGGCGTCGAGGTCCCTGTCCTGCCCTGTGTGCCTAGGCGTCGAGGTCTCTGTCCTGCCCTGCATGCCTAGGCGTCGAGGTCCCTGTCCTGCCCTGCGTGCCTAGGCGTCGAGGTCCCCGTCCTGCCCTGTGTGCCGAGGTGTCGAGATTCGAGCAGAACGATTGCATCGGCACTATCAGTGCCCCCCTCCCCCGCCATGCCCCCAATGCCTCTGTCGTGTGTCGGAACGTTGCCGGCCCCGATCGAGAGAATTCGGTATTCGGCCGACGTTTGGGGCTCGTTGCTGCGCATCGCCGAGCGCCGCCACCGGCCTGGCGGTCCTGTCAAGCGGACAGAACGGAGCCGGGCCGGGTCACTGCCCCGTGGCCCAGGGCGACGGTCGGCCGCGGCCCCGGCCGGCTGGCACCTAGCCAGGGGACAGATGGTGGACGTCGACCGCTGGCGAAGGCATTTCACGTCACTGTCACGTCCACGTGGTGTCGGCGCTCCGCGCTGGCCCGGGCTCGCGCTCATAGCCGAGACACGCGCCCAGGGCTCATCCTGACGACCGGGTGTCGCTGATTAAACACACGTGCTGCTGTTTGCTCAGCGTCACGCAAAACCTCGCACGGGTGCAGTCATTCCATGGCTCGTTCAAGATTGTTTGCATTTTTGCTGCTCTTCCGCAACGCATTGGGCCCTGACACCGTTGGCACGTGCTGAGTCTGCAGGCATCGATCAGTTAATGTCGTTGTCGGCAAAGTGGCATGGCTCCTTTCCCGTATGTTGTCTCGCCAGAACTAAAGATATCGTCTCTCTCAGACCAATGCTGCCGCCTGCACCGTATCAAAATAGCTGGTATCGTTAGTCCCAGGGACAGTGGAAGTCGGGGTCATCGGTCACTGTCGGTCATTTGTTTTAAGTCTGCCCGCAAATCCTTAATGGCCAAAGTTTAGCCGGCTCCCGCACCCCTGTCCGGCCGCGTACAACCCAGCAGGCGCCCAGTGCCCAGCTCGCTGCGCCCATGACCGTAGCCGAAGCAGCCCGCCCGGCCTGCCCAGTCGGCGGCCGGCTCAGCGTCTCGTCCGGGCTAGTGTCGGCCGGCCGGCAGGTCAGGCCCGCCCAGGGCGGTCGCGGAGGGGGGTCCCGCCGGCTGGGACGGATCACGCACCGTGCAGCGGCCCGCCGACGCAGTTGAGGACGGCTGCCTGGCTGAGGTGATGGGTCCAGCTGAGCAGCTGAGAGCAGGCGGATGCGCTCGTGACGGATGGGCCGACAGGCAGCTGTTCTGCGCCGTCCTCACCCGTTACTGGGCTGCGACTCGGGGTGATTGGTCAGCGTTGGATAAATATGAGGATAGCTGCGGCTCCGAGACGAGGCCAGAACGTCGCACGAAAGTAGGAGCGTACGTTTCGCCTATTCGGTCACATTAGCTGGTAAATCGTGCAGCATGGGGTCGCGTAAACACCAATCAGCAAGCAAAACACCCGGTCGTGCAGCTGAAGTTTCTAGCCATTGCGAAGTTCAGTGGCACTGACTGTCTTTTCACTGGCCCGTCTTTGGTGGGCCCCGCAAGAGAGCGGCTCGCATGATGACACCACTCCCGGATCTGTCCAGCGCCCGCCTATGGGTGTCCTTCGTGCAGCGCCGGCCCGGGGGCCTGATGACGAGGTTCAGCTGACACCACCGCCGGAGCTGCCTCCCTCTCTCACGGCCTGACCCGGTCGGTCGGCCGACGTCGCGCCCCCATCCGGCGAGACCACTCCCGGAACAGCCTCCCTCCCACGTCGTCTTGCACCCATGCCCGGTTGGCCAACACGGCACCCCCATCCGGTGATGTCACACCGGGGTCCTCCGCCCCCGGTGTGACATCAGGCGGCGTCGATCCCACGGGACAGGTCACCCCGCGCCACTTCCGGCGGAGCCGCCAGCCGTCACGGCGCCGGCCGGCCCGGCCGCGACCCCCGCCCCCCCCCCCCCCTAACCGCGCTGCGGGGACGGGAGACCGCTCCGGATCCTGCCGCAAGACTCAGGCACCGCATCCTGAAAAGCACGGAAAATGATGCAAACAGCGCGCTAAGGTCATTGTTTTTACTCAGGCACGTTAACATAGATGGCAAACTTAACCGTGGCAGCGTTTTTGCTTTTTCATTGTGTGCAATTGGTCAATTTACATTTCTGTGGTTTGTGCCGTAAAATCGAATCAAAAAGCAACGCAAACGTGAAATGACAAATAGAAACAAGCGACAATGTAAACACGCATATGGAGGGATCAGTTACGGCTATTATGACGACAAACCATGATCCTGCTTCTGTTTATCCGGTTTGCGAGTATCGCATGTTTTGGCGCCAAATTTATAGTAATGCTAACGTGAAATGACCTACAGTATGGTGGTTTAGATGAGATCCCTTTCTGTCAGTCATGTCCATTTGTGTCACTGAGGAACACATTCAGCTGCTGAGGCCACATGACATCACATCAGACGTCAGCGTCTGTTTCCGCAGACCCACAGCGCTATCGGCATCTAGTCATGACCATTTTGGGACTGTGGGATGACGAGGGATGTTAGCAAAAGAGACGAAGAACTACGCGCACCTAGTTAGTCATCCACCGAACGTAAGCCAACACAGGGTGCCCTATGCGGTGTACGTGCTGGGCGCTTAGATGGGGCCTGCGCCAGGGGACATTTAAAGGGAGTAAACCACCTTCTTCGTATTTTTCATTTATTGTTAGATCTGACACGTCCGACTTGGTCAGCAATGCCAGCTTTCAGAATCCGCTGCGAGCCACCATCATTAAAGCTCCACAACCGTGGTGAAGATTTGCAAAATAGGTCAGGGGATGGGAGTGAGAAATAGCTCAAAACCTACCTCAGAATGAGCAAAAAACGGGCTTCATCCTCGCTTTGACCCCCTTTCTCTTAACTTCGGGACTGAAGACTGTTCAACTGAAAAAGAAAGCAAACCCCTGCTACACCACGACTCCTCGCTCTATTTCGGCGGATAATGCTGCCGTTGAACATCATTTTTATTTTTATTTGGGGGGGGGGGCGTCAATTGTCAAAGCTAGCTTTCGCTTACCAACATATGGTCGATATTATTTGGCTTTAGATCTTGTTGGACCCGCACAGCTTCGGGAACAAATAGTTCCAGCTGATGTACACAACTGTGGGATGCTGCCACAGAAGTCCCTGCGGCGGGGGGCTGCAATACGGGCTGCAGGCTGGAAGGCAGCACTCGCCTCGCGCGTGTTCAACACGGCTTGTGTTGCTTCTATGGTGGTCGTTGTCGGATGACGACCGTTATTAGTGTCGTTGGTTAGAGTCGGTAGTCAGGTTTTCATAACTGTTACATTAAATGTTTACGTCGAATTAGAGATCGGCGCATTTCAATGGCTTTCCCAGATGTAGACGACTAGAAGACTCGTCACGTTGTGGGGTGGTAATATGTGACTGATTTGTTTTCATTCGCAGAAAGTGTACCGATAAGACATGGTGGCAGAAAAACGAAACTTATTGGACGCTGTAAAACTTTAACCACCGCTGGACCTTTAAAACGCCATACAAAAAACTAGACCAGAGTCAACAAGACTTTTAGCTCAAAACATGCAGCAAGTAGTGAATAAAGAATATACACAAGTGAATATGATACGAGCTCGGAGATTTACATCGGCTAAGTCAGCACGATTTAGCTAGGCATGACATGTTTATATTATTCGTTCCTTATATTTGAGACGCATTTTCTAGAAGCTGTCTTCAAAATTCATCTAATTTTGACCCTAAATGTTCTGGCTCGTACTTAGGCTCCAGAAGGTGAGGGGGGGCAAACCCACCGTTTGGTGAGGGGGGAACAATTCAGATATCGGGGGTGGAGGTAGTGAATCACTCGATGGGATGCAGATCGACATCCATGGATCTGCCCTTGTTGTGTTGACGATCTGACAGTAAATCCACTGGAAAATCTTCGATATCAAAGCGAGCGGCAAATCTCTGACCATTCCGCAAGGCCGATAATAAATTGCGGCAATACGATTTGACGGTGCCATTTGACAGTGCACGATGACAGTTTGGGACTTCGGACGCCAGAAGCTACGATTTACACTGATGATGCTCCAGCGCGTCAGCGAAAACACAACGAACTGAGTTCCGAGGTCGTGGGAAAACTTTCCAGGTAGTCACGATCCGGTGGCGCCTCGGCGCCCCTGGGACCCCGCCGGCGGCGCGGGATCCCGGTCGGCTCCTCTGCCCGGCCGGCCTGACTCCTCGCTGTCGCTGTCTGTAACACAGCCGAGCGCGCTGACGCTGCGGATCAGCCTCCAGCTGTCAGTTGTACTCTGCTGCTGTTCACTGGAACATATATCAGCACACCAGCGCTGGCGCCCGTCTTTGTGATTTGTCAAAAAGAAGCACGTTGTATTCGCAGCTCAACGTTACCCACGTCAGGGAGACGCAACTTGGCGTAGTTTCTTATCATTACTGCACTTTTCCGTTCCTATAAATATATACAACATAACGCACCGTATCCCTTACCTGGCCTCCTCACCAACCTGATCGGTTTCAGCCAGTCATGTAGTTTAGCCGAGGGAGTCCAGAATCCAGTCATCGCACAATGCGTAGCCAGCGACTTGCGGTCCTGAGCCGCGATCCACCGTCTGTATTCGCAACGGGCGTGGATGTAACAACGATTTGGGCCCTGCGACGGCGGGCCAGAATGTCAAGGAAACAGCCTGAGCATTACTAGCATCTTGAAGTGGAAAATCGCGAAACGTGTGTATTTTTGGACGACAGTTTTGGGAGAGAGACAGAGGGCTATGTTGGCAAAGTCGGTGTATGTGCCCATCCCGTCTCTCCACCCAGTGGGTATATTTATGTACATGGATTCCATTCACGCTCAGTTGTGCTTATCTCGCCTTCCCAAATGTGTAGCTTGGATTGTAAGGAATGAATGGAGCGGACAGATTGGGCTCTGGTGCAGGTTATGTAATCTCGGGCGATGCGAGCATTTAATGGCTCCGACAGGCCGGAATGGCATTTGTCCAGGAAGGAATTTGACGAGCAATCGAATATTACCCAATTGACCGCAGAAGGAACGCAGGATTGACAGCAAAGACCGGCATTCTTTATCGAATTCAATAGCTATTTTTTTGTAATCTGTTGTAGATCAGCGAACCGATGTCCACGTTACTTTCAATTCGTTGATCTAAAACATAAGCAGGTGGTCTGTTCGCGTTAACCCTTGTAAAGTGCGTTTATCATGATGTGTCAAGCTTTCAAAGGGAGTGCTCCACATTTATATGGGGTTTTGAGCTGAAATAACAGTTCTGAAGGTCTTTCTAACAGTTCTGAAGGTGCTGTTCATAATCCTGCATTTTCAAGCTCTGAGCCCCTCTAGCTTCTGAGCTACATGCCCGCGAAAATGTGGAATATTTCGGGCAGAATTTTTGAAGGTCACCTTGGTACTGATGACATCATAATCACCTCATTTAAATGCTGCCAATCCATAAGCCAATCGGTGATCAAGACGAAGAAAAAGATCATTGTTGAGGTGTTTAGATCTGGCTGTCGTGAGCACGATGTCCAGATATAACAGTCATCAATTAACTCTCAATCAATGTTGTGCAAGGCGCGATGACATAATCAAGCCATGACTGCATTGGGGAGCATATTTACCAAACAAAGAATTGTGCTGTCTAGAGCAGTTTTCCTCTTCAAATGGATGCCAGTAGTTCTGTGAGCTTGTTTCATCATCATCAAGCATCATTTTGATGCTTGCTTCAATATATTCAAATGTGAAACATTCCCTTTAAGCAGACACACATCCGAGCAGTTCAGTTCAGCAGGCAATTCATATGTGATCGCAGCAGGTTCCGTCGCATGCCACCATCATGTAAATTCGACTTCGATAGCACATCGTGGCGTAGTGTCCGGTACTCAGTGCTAAAAAACAAAGCCACCAAACAAGCCTGCAAAGTACGATAAATGGGGCATCCTGTTCAGCCCTTGTAAAACTAATCACGTGCGTCCATCACGTGCATCAACACACAAACACACTTGAGATGCCTGTGATTCCTGGTTAACGGCACGTTTGCCCGACAAATTGCGATCTACGGTAAAGGAATGGAATGATGACGTTCTCGTGGCGGGACTAAGGTTAGTAAGTCATCAGTAGATCAAATGCAGAGATTTAGATGTGACATGTGCAGCAGGCATTTCATGTTTTGCATACATAGTTACATAACAGATATAGCAGACAGTCTAACAGAGCTAATGGGGGAGGTGAAAAAGGGAGACTTGAAGTGTAACCTTTCTCGAAATAAGATAAACAGAGAAGAGCAAAAAAAAAAACACGTTAGACTAGTCATTCCCCATATGTCGTCCCTGCCCTGCCCCCGCCCGCTCGCCGGCCGCCGTGCCTCTCCGGCCGCCCGCCGTCCGCCGCTGTCTGCGCCGGTCCTTCCGCTAGCTCCCCGTCGGCAGTCGGCCCCTGTCGCCACTTCCGCCGGTCACCTCCAATCTGAGCGCGGGAGCGGCCGGCTGGCCTGTGACGGTTATGTGCCGCGACGGCGCCCGGCGGCCGTCCCGGGGCCGGTCCGGCGCCGCATCTGGCCGGCAGACCGCCGCCGAAGGGGGCAGCTGGACGCCGTCGCACCGGGGGGCGGGGAGCGGCATCAGCGCCGAGGAGCTGGACACTGAACAATTCTACTCAGCGCTGCACTTATGTGTATGCGTTCCACCGTATTTGCATTCCAGGGGGAGGGCATGGTAACAAAGCTTGGGACTTGAGCGCCCAGTTGGGCGGTTCCGATGCACAAGATTATGAATATGATTCGAGGTAGCAGCAAAGCCACGAGAACAGTGCCTATTAGCGATGTATGCGGAAAAGCATCGTGCGTGAACCTCGGCTAAGCCTATCTGCAAGTTCTGGGCCGCAATAAATGGGATAATAGAATCGGACTCGACCTGCACTGTTCTGTTCCCTGTGGCTCGGCTGGCCCCATCTTTGCGACTCGGAATCTGACTTTGTTATCATTACATCGATCATGATTAACTCCTCTGTAGTGCAGTCCAACACATGTCCGGTTTTGCAATCGCGGTGGGTTCTGATTTAATGTAGACACATTGGGTAAGCTTGCATGCCTTGAATAGCTATGCCGCAATTCCTGGTGAGTGGTGGCAAGAGGTCAGAGAAACGTCTCCTAAGTTCAAGTGGCTGCAATCTAGCTTGCCCCAGCTGTGTGCTCCAGTCTGCTCGGTGACTGTGACCTGACCTGTGGGCTACAGTCTGCAGGGTGACTGTGACCTGACCAGTTCGCAGGGGTAACCGTGACCTGACCTGTGTGCCCCAGTCCGCAGAGCTGACAGACGCCTGGCCCGCTCTGCCCCCAGATGCGCCGCACATCTCGGTGGAGCAGGCCGTCGTCCGTACGGCGCGCGGCCTCACGGCAGAGCTGGCCTGCAAGGTGTTCGCCAACCCGCGTGCTGAGGTGAGAGGTGCGGTCTTTGCAGCTCTGTGGCCGGTGAGCCTGCCCGGTCGCCAGCGCTGGCCCTCACTGGCCCTGCCCTCGCCGATGGTATCAACGATAAGGTTGTAATAAGGAGTACTGCACAACACAGCAAAGCTGTACACACACTCCAATACGTACATTGACGACACCGCGCCTGTTGCTCTATAGGTTGAATGTTCGCTACCTGTGGCGTTTTGGTATCAGTGTTTCTATATGCTCACCAGACAACCTGGCAAAAGAACGGCCTGGACCTTCCCGTGAGTTCGAGGTACGAGACGACAGTCTCGCGCCGCTTCTTCTCTCTGAAGATCCGTGATGTGAGGGACGAAGACCTCGGCAATTACACGTGCAAAGCGAAAAACAAGCACGGTCGCAGCGAACACCACCTCACGCTCACGGGTGAGTGGGGGGGGGGGGGGCGGGCAGCTGGCGGTCTGCCAGCAGACCAGTACCGCACCCATGTGCGCATCAGACTAATGTCGTACGAATGAGCTGGTATGAGGAGTGCCACTTTAACGTGAGTTATATGATTCAAGTTGGTTGTTTGGATTAGAGCCCTTTCGATCAGAAATGATCATTTTAGGGCTATGGGATGAAGAGAAATGGTTAACGGCGGGGCTGGCTTACATGCGACGGGGGGGAGGAGGCAACCGCTTTAACCCGCTGTGTGCGCTGGGTACCCGGTTGTGGTCCCCCTTCCCACGAGGCTCATGGCCCACTCGTGGCCGTCGCATGCAGCCTGCCCTGGACAGGCGGGGTGTCGCGAGGATGCAGGATGAAGCGAGATAGAGGATAAGAGGAACGGATGATGATTCAGAAACAGCAACTTCCTGGTCTAGCCGTGTGATGACCGTGCCATCCCGAAATTGAATGAACCTTTCTGAAGAAAAATTAAGCTGTCCATTGCCATGAGATGGATCGCAGTATCACGAATTGCGCCAGATTTGCCTCCATTTTGCGTCAAGGAACTGAGCTAATCAGGGGTTTTGACCAGTTCACACGAATGCCTTGTCAGAGTTCCAATATCTGCCTGCCACCTAGCAAAGCGTGCTTTAACCTGTAGTATGTCTTCTGGCCGCCAGGGTTGCCGGGTAGCCCCGAATTGCGACTGAGCAAGCCGGAACGGACAGCGGCCGGTAGCTTGAGCAGCCGCCTCTCCTGGGAGCTGATGAGCTTCTCTGCACTGGAGGAGACTGTGGTCACCCTCGTGCAGCTGGACCCGGTGAGCAGCCGTCCTACGAGAATGCCCTACCCCGCCCCGAAAACGCAACGGATTGTGGGATGACCCTGCTGGATCTGGGATGAAAGATCATGGGCGGCTGGGTCAGCTGATGTTTGCATGCTGGTGATGCTTGCACGTAAGAAGTGTCTCCTTTCTATTGCTTATGCATTTCATTCAAAGATATGCTTAGATCAAGTACAAGACGAGACAGGAAAGTGACGCGTGCTTTCACCATATGGTAAGACGTAATGGGGCATTTCTTTACGAGAACCACTTCACCTCATCGAGGTCAAGACGCATACATTAGGTTAAAGCGCTCATCAATATCTATCGGATTCCTTCCCTACGATCGTGCCTTCAGTTCCAGCACCGTGACAGCCACACTGTGGCGCTAAGCTGGTTCCCAAACCCGAAGTCAGACCCGAAAACCCGAAGTGTAACCGCTAGCCTGGACGGTAAGGTGCGACAGAGCGTGACGGCGCGTGACGGCGTCGTGACGCGTCGACAGGCCGGTCCTGAGCCCCGGGAGGTCCGGCTGCCGGGTGTGTCCTCCCGTTCAGTGGCCAAGAGCGGGCAGCACCAGCTGACGCCGCTGCAGGAGAACACAACGTACCAGGTGCAGGTGGAGGCGCGCAACCAGTACGGCTGGACGCCGCCGACCTCCTTGTTCTTCAGCATCTCGGCTGGCGAGCTGATCCTCACGCAAGGTTAGCCGATATCGACCCCCCCCCCCCGAGGTCAAGGGATGGAACCCCTCTCCGGGAAGACCGGCCATACTCAGAAGTCGTAATATGCCTCGAACAATGACAGATAGCATGGTTGCCTTGCATACTGCGTACATCTTGTTCTGATGATGAAGTCGGCTTTCTCTGACCAACCGCTGGCGTATATTACATTATGGGATTCGAATGCGACGCGACCTCACATGCAAACATCCTGACGTCTGCTATTTCTGTACAAACTCCCAGGTGTGCGACCAGAATAGCCATGTTGAAATGAGGTTAGCGCAAATAATTTGGTTACGTCGGTGTCGGAGCGAACATTGCGCCTTGACCTGAAACGGAGGCAGTGCTGCAACCGACAGGGTGTAGACTGGAACTGTGCGCGTGTGCGTAGTGAACCATGCCGGCGTTTGGCTGACGGCCGTTCCGTTCCGTGCTCCCAGAGCCTCCCCGCCCGGCTGAGTCCACGTCCGGCGCGTCAACGGTGGGGCGGCTAAAGCTGGTGCCCATCATGCTCATCGTGTCGCTGTCGTGTTTTTTCTAGTGATTACCTATGAGGTGAGTCGTGGAAATGACACATCACGGCGCGCTGGTAACCGGTCAGGTTTACAAGCGAAGCTGCTCTAATTTTTTGGCTGCGAGTGTGCTATTTTTTGTTTACCCTGTGTGTATAATCTTGGTGACGACTGCGTTCTCATGGCACGATGGGCCGGGTAAAACTATGCCCCAAGTGATGGCGTCTCGAAATGGCAGTTGTCTGGGCTGGCTCATGGCCAGGGCTCGCAAGTATGAGACCTTCTCACCTTATCTGCCTTATATCTCCTGAAACATCGCGTGTCGTGAGCATCAATGAATTAAAGGAAATAACTTAAATAACTGGGTGTCGCATTAGCCTAATGACGACCATCAATAAAACTGGCGGCAAACCTGTGCCAGTGATATGTGCCAGAAATATTTGGTGATTTTTCAATACATTTGAACCGACCACCTGTTTCGATATCAAAGTGAGTCATGACACCGATGTCATGCGCGCTCTGATAATAACCACGCTCATCCTAACGCCGTTCGGTCAATTGGCGGAGGAGGCGGCAGTGCACAAGTTTTGCACATCATATTAGATCACCTGAAGGTGCATACACATTATGACACATAAGCTCACGTCGCACGCTTAACCCTGTAAGGTCAAATACCATCCAGAACACGGTGCATCTGTTTGATCTGTTTCTGCTCGACACCTCTACCCACGGGATGGCTCCGTGGGCTGACCGCAACAGACACTGTCCGCATGTGCGCTCCAGTATGAGGAAGCTCTGGGCATACCGTCGCCAGCTACGGTGCCCGTCACGGCTCGGCTATGCTGAACTACTAACTCAGAATAACCTTGCTTTTTCAGACGAAACATCCCTTCAGTCGTTCGGTAAGAATTATGTTGCAGGCGTTTGTTTGGATGTTAAATGAACTACACAGCATGTAACTCGACAAGAGTATTAATTTCGAGAATCGACGGAGCAGACATGATGTTCACGAACAAAGGTTTAGATCTTCTGCGTTAGGTAATGATTACTAACAGTCTTAACTGGTTTTTACCTACAGACGTCCCTTGCATACGTTTACCGGATGCAAACTATTAGCTAGCGTTGCATGAAAGGCCATGCGTTTTCGCCTGGCCTGTAGCAGCGCTGTTCTGTGCCTGCGCTGCTGAAAACGCAGCCGCGCCTGCAGCGCCCCTCACGTCCCACCCGTGCCCTCCCAGGTCGGGAAGAGAATCCTGTGCCACGTCAGCGCCCACGTCCTCTTCATCGAGGAGATGTGACGTCACGTCACGTCCGCGGCACCGGTGACGTTCTCGCCTCGCACTGACCGCGAGATGGGACTCGTGCCGGCGCTGCCTGGAACCAGAGCCCGCGGCGAAGCGGGGCGTTCTCCGTCTCTGGCCACGCCCACAGCCCGGCCCGTTCAATCATCGTCCTGCCGTCCTGCGGCCGTTGCCGGGGCAACGGGCAGAGAGCACGCGCGCGATCGCCGCGGTGGCTCTCTTGCGACCACATAGGTGAAAGAGACAATTACGACGTAGGCACTGTGATGCTGTCTTTTGTTGAGGCGCTGTACGAACGATCGGATGTTCGCCTTTGCTTGTGGTGTATGCTTATTTTTGTGCGGTGATTTGTTCAGAAAGCGAGCGTGTTCGTTGTTTTCGAATGCTTGTGACACTGCCCTGGTCAACCTCTCACGCAGAGTCCTTACGATTTGCGCCTACCTGTGAGCAGATCCGAGCTTTGTGAGCGTAATCGAGAACATGATTCGTCAGATCAGAAATAAAGTAACTAGAGCCAAAAGCGCGAACAATGAAAAGATCCCCATTTACTGCGCATGGTACCCAGCCCGTACTATTCAGCTTTGTTAAAGTGCAAGTGATTAAGGACATGGAACCAGTGACAATCGCCGAGGGCTACTGTTTGGCCGCGGTAGCGAGGTCACTCCACTGAAACAGCGAGTAGCCGCTTCAGTGCGGGCGCGGATTCGTCGATCCATCGTTGAGCGGAGATCTCGTGCGTGCAGACACGCCCCAATATCAGCAGCGACGGTGCTAAATCCCGAAATGAGCAGTAACTGGATGGCCATAAATATAAAACAGCAACATACGTTTTACCTGTATTTTTTTCAACGAAAATGATGCAGCGAGAAAACACAGTACGCGTCCAGGGCGGCGCAGTTGCCACCACCACATGACAAGGTTCGCCTGGTCAGCCCGTACCGACCTCACCGGCCGCAACTCCGGCCGGCGCTCACTTAAACACGACCGTGTCCAGCATAGCGCCCAGACACTGAACGATGTTGGAGGTCATCAGGGTGCCCACCTTCTCCTCCAGGTGCCGCTTCGGGTCCATTTTGCCGACGTTCTTGATGGCCAGCTGCTCGGGCGTCATGGTCTCCTCCTCCTCGAGCGACTTGTTGTAGCTGACGGCCAGGTCCAGCATCTCCTTGACGGTGCGCTCGTTGACAGAACAGTGCTGATGATAGTCCTGCAGCTGCAGACCGTCCATCCACGTCTCCTTGTTGAGGTTCATCAGCATGCGCTGCTCCAGCTCGTTCTTCCGGTAGTTGATGGAGATGGAGTAGTAGTGCCGGTTGAGGCCGTGGATGAGTGCCGGCAGCGACGGCTTCTGCAGGTGGCCCAGGTTGGAAGTGGTCTGGCGCGGCTCTTGGCCCAGCACCACCACGTTCGGGTTGATGAGCCGGAACGCGTCGATCACCACCTTGCCCTTCACCGACTGGATGGGGTCGACGACCACGGCGACGGCGCGCTCCGAGAGCGCCTCGAAGCTCTGCTGCGTGTTGATGTCGACGCCGGAGAGCCAGCAGCCGAAGCCGGGATGCGAGTGATACCAGCCGACCACCATCTCCGGACGGCCGGTCTGCTTCAGCATGTCCAGCATCTTGGCCTGGAACACCGGGTCCACCGCCTCCACCGACACGCCGGTGCCGGACTGCGGCATGGCGAACACATCGATCACGCGCACCGTGTACTCATCCACGAACTCGCCCAGCATCAGGCCCATCACCTCCATGGGCACGCCGGCGCGGCCGTGCTTCAGCATCTTCAGCAGCGCCAGTGACGAGATGTAGACCTGCTCGGCCGTGTCGACCGTCGGCCCGTCGCCAGAAGGCGCCTGCTGGCCGAGGTTCGGCATGCCACCGCCCAGGCGCAGTATCCGGTCCATCTCTCGCGGTTGGCGGGCACGCGGGGCGCGCTACTCACGGTCGGCGCCGCCTGTCAACGGAGGGGGCGTCCTGTCAGCTCGCCGGCTGGTGCCACAGGCCCACCAACACGAGCACCACCCACCCCTGGATTTCACCGGTACGGATATACCAACGTCTACGCAGTACGAGGCGGATTCAATCAATACTGATCATACAACGAGTGTCACTGTCACATGTTCATCCGAACTTCACTGTCAGATGTTCATCCGAACTCCATCAAGGGTGCAGTTCGCATTCAACACGAAGGCGTCCAGAAATCCTCCCCACTTCTCGAAAGAAAAGAGGGTTCAATCCGTGAACAAAATGAGCTTGGCAAGAAGGGATGGGTAGATTAACTCATTTTCACCACACTCAGCACCCTTCCCAACTGATTTGGCAGCAGTACATTCTTTAACTAGGTACAAATTGCATCTCTAGCCTACTCCATAAGCACACCGCGCACAAGTCGTGCAGAGTCTTCCGCTTCATAAGTTCGTGAATTTTGTAGGATGGACATATCCCGCATTTAGAGCGCGTCACTTAATACATGTTTCACTTGATTTAAAGGGAAGGCAAAACTGGGATCTGTGTGTCTTAACGTCCGATGCCTCGCAGCGATATGACAGTCCGGCACAGACGCTGCGTCAGCTGTGTTTCGGCACCCCGAAAGGGGGAGCTCCGCATTTGTATAGGGGTTTGAGCGGAGGTAGCCATTTTGAAAATCCTTCAGTGCAGTTCACGGCCCTGCCGTTCCGAAGCCATAACACCCTCTGGTTTCTGAGTTAGACGTCCGCGAACTTGTGCAGACTATTTCGTGCAGACAATGCCATGATCACCAAGGCCTTTATGACCACAAAGAAACGTCACACAAATACCGCCACCCCACTGACCATGCGGTGCTCAAAGCCAAGATAAACATAATCGACGAGCTATCAGCATCAGCACCAGCCTGGTGTACATAAGCAAGATTTCTGGCAACAATAAAGTTCAATGGGCTAGAAAGCAATGTTAAGCATGGAGTGCCAGTTTCGACCACGAATCACGTTTCGTGCTGCACAGTACATCAAGTTGGGAAGTGGTACTAGTTATGATGGAAATATAACTGTCGTTGCCATGAGCAGTGTTTCACTCCACTTGATTATTCATAGCAAGCATCATATATGATGCTTGTCTCACTATTTGTAATGTGTAATGCTCCTTTTCAAGTACCTCGAATGCTGCACCATGGTAGCCGATGCTGAATGACTCCAACGAAGATGAAAATACCACCGTCGTTGTCGCCGATTGCTTGTTTACAGCTGAATGGTGCATTTGTGCATGACGGAGCGGGGGATGACGATTTTTTTTTCTTTATTTCCCATAGACGAGCTCCACTTTACACATGTTTGATCTACGCAAGCTGTTAAGCGCATTTGTGAGGGCATTATGCATATGGATAAGACGGTAGTAACAGCCTTAAGCGTCGTAGAAAAAACGGGGGAATCAGGAGATGGATGGGTTGATATTTCGGCAACATGCCTTCATCAAAACGAATATCAGTAGTAAATTCGAAGTTGTCTACCAATCCTACTTTAGAGCAATGGGATCGCAACAACAAAAAACTGGTTCGAATTCCAGCAATTCCAAGGAGCAAATTCCGGTTGTGACGCATACATGGCTAAAGCCAACCGTCATCCAGTCCTTTTAAGGACTCCCTACATCTGACAATGGCCGGAGAGTTTAATGGCCGAAAAGTTGTGTGAATGCTATACCAACACACCAGATGGAGACAATGGTCCCAATAATTATGCCACCTATGCCACATTATGGCATGCACTATGTGCATAACTAGGTACTGAAACAGAATTTGCAGCATTAAGTACATAAAATGCAAATTGCTTTAAAACTAAAGCCTTTTTAAAGCTGGCGAGGGTGTCTGCTTCCCACCCATTGTGGAGCAGGGTTTGAGTTGCTTTTGGCACTCCCTGTTTGTTCTTGACAGATATGACCTGCGGCTGGTGGCACAGGCTGCGCAAAAGCTCATGTGATGTCAGAGGACAGGATGGGCCATGCCCAGCTTTGCGGCACATTAAACTTCTAATACTTAACTCTGCTACTGACCTGGATTTGCAAGCTCACATAGTAGGGGTCAGGGTTCTATGAAGGGCCAGATAAAATATTTTAAGAGTAGCCATGGTTACAGTGGTTGTGCTTCACTTACAACTGCTCCATTAAAATGGGAAGAGATGAGGAGAAAGAGATTGTGATGAGGAGAGAAGAGCTCTGGCAGCATGCTAGGTAAGCATATTTTGATACTGGAAACTCTCACATTTCCGCCTTTATGGGAAAACAGGGCATGGCTGGGCTTCAGATAAATGAAGTGATCTCCTGTGTACTGCTAAAATAACAAAAATTGGTTTGGTGGAAACTAAAAGGTTGTTTTTGAGCCTCATGACTAATCCCACAATAGCATGTAAATGATAGGCTACAGTGATCCTGAGTCACAAGGCCAAATCCCCTTATGAATGCCTGGTCACAGGCCTTGTTGGCTGTAGGAACTGGGGCCCTGGTGTGGGTGGCATTTGAGCACATTTTTTACATATGGAAGTTACCCTCCATTAAGAAGGGTATATAAGCATCACCATAGTCCCCCTCCATTCTGGAGAGCGTGCATACAAACATAGCCTAATTTTAACCATGGTGCAATAACCTGGCAGGATTTGTTTGCCTTAAACTTGATGTTTTTAAGATTAAGTACCACTGACTAGCACTTCCATCTAGGTGGCATTTCCAGTTGCTTAACACTTACACTCCAGTGCCAATGTCTTGAATGTTTCCATTTGTCAAATACTAGCATCACCGTGTTGATGTTTTGAAAGGTTCTTTTGCATGGAAATCCTTTAGGGAACAAAAACGTGTGACGCGGCCAGTCCACAAAAGCATCCACTGAACCAATTTGTAGTAGTGCTGAGCATGGTGCATGTATATACCAAGCTTAGTCTATGCAAAACTAAGCAGGATTTGTGAAGCATTCATTATTGACAAAAGATTGCAAGGTATCTTTGCTTGGAATGACTGATTGACGTAACATCCCTAGAAACATTGGCCCTACATGCTGAAAAACTGTGATGAGCCTGTACAAACTCAAAGCACTTAGAACACAGTGCACCTAAATATGCCTGACATGTTCAATGAAAGGTAACAGATAAACCATAGACCATTCAAAGCATCATGCATTTTTGTTGTCTGGCTTTGCAGGAAAACAAAAAATTTGATATGATGCTGATTTGATGATGTAATGGTTACAGACTTCATATCATAGAGCCATTTCCCACAATTCTTAACTGCATAATTAATGGCAACACCTTCAAACTGCGCAGCAGGTGCATTGTAAACCAGCTTATTTCCATGCACGCAAAAACACTTGATGGGTAGAGCTTCACAAGTCTCTCACTGAGCTTTTGACATGATCGACATACAAGGCAATATGACAGTACTCATTTGCTCATCAGTTTTCATTTGATTCTGCACTCGTGCCTAATCACCTTTAACTTGCTTCGTCCATCGTTTGGTACCTACCTTCCTGATAAAGAATGACGAAAAAGAACTCACGCCCACAATGTTCACAGGTACAAAACTTTTGTACGCTTATACTACGGTAGCACCGACAAGAAATGAATTTATGAGTTAAGCTCAAAACATGCGTTGACGGCTTTGTCCGCCGGGCTCCCCTAACTGTAACCACTCCGACCCCCTGTTCTTCTGTGAGCCGCCGCTGACGCCGCACTAACGCCGGAGGCGCGCCAGATTCGCCTCATTGTCTGTCATGCAATAGTTCCAGAATACGCCAAAACGAGCCACGACTAGCGGAAAACTGGAGAAATCTAGCGTTGACTGCAGAAATCGAAATATCTCGTGAATCATCATAGCGTATGAAAAATAAAGGATGTGATTTGCACATTGCGTGCATAAGGTGAAGCCATGAAGCCATGAAGCCACCAGTCCACAGACGGTCCCGGAGGTTGAGGGACAATCAGTGCGGATCGAATCGCCATGAGAAAAAATCCATGCCAGACGTCGCCCCAGAGCACTCCAAACACGCTTCTCTTCCGTGGCCCTATTCCCACGTGCCCATCCCGGACCGAGAAATAATGTATGCAGTACGGAACTGCAAGTAAGGAAACGAACAAAGACCATGGCCGGAACTTCGCGAGAAGAAGCCTGTGGAACAAAATTCATGGGAGAGGCACATTCGGCTGGAGAAGCGACACTCTTACTCGAGGAGAAGCGGCACTCTCGCCTGGGCGCTCTCAGAGAAAAAAGCCGCACTCCGCCCCTCGGGAGCTCTCAGTGGACGGAGCCACGACTGCAACTCTGCACTCGATGACCAAAGCTGCCAGCGTGTACTTGGAAGAGCTGGCACGAACAATGGAATATGTTTAGCCTACCCCCAGCTCGCATCGCTCCTGAGCATGTCTCCTCACCTATCTCCTACCCCTACGGCCCTACTGCCTTCGTCAGAGACGAGCGAGACGCGAAAACACTGCCATAAAGTTACCGGTCAAAAGAGGCTTCACCAGGATGTGATGCGATTGGCACAGGCCAGGCAGGTCACATTGCAAGTGAGGTTTGGTCACTAGGACGATCACGAAAGAGGAATCGTAGTGCGCGCGTGCAAAGTAGCGCCGTATGCCTAAGTGATTAAATGTGGTGTTGATTCCAGTACGTTAGGCACCCGAGTGGGTCTTAATTATAAGAGAGAAAGCGATGAATTAACATGGTGGAAACTAACAGTAATCCAGTCCTGCATGCAACGCTTGATGATACGTGTCAGCTGAATTTGGTAACCACGAGTTTTCAGCGGGAAATGAAGGGTAGAGAAGGACGGACTTTGTGACTTGGAAACATACAAGAGTGTTCTTTATTTACGACACCCACAGTTCAGGTTCAGGATGTCAATCTATATTATAGTCTATGGCAGAAGTGTTTAAAAGTTTTGGCGTGAATTTTTCGGGAGGTGGCAAGGCCAGGTGGGTCGCTATTTGGGTATCGAATTGTGGGCGTGATCCGACTGGCGGGACGCCGTGGGCACGTGCACAAGTAGCCCGTGTGTTCAATACGTAACACGCGAAATTCGCAAGTTGCTAGAATCGGCCAAACCGTTTGGCCAAACCCGGTTTTCTTGGCCAAACATGCGGGTGTTTGCAACGAACAGAATCAGCACATTGAGACCCGAAGTGGGACGGGCAATCGTGCAAGCAAAAGCGTTAATCGACGCGTATTGAGGCGCACGTACGCTGATGCGCAAACCGCAGATGCGACGGTATCGGACGCTGTTCACGATTTTTGTCAGATCTCGGCAGTCCGAACAAATAAAGACGCGAAAATGACTGCACATTGGAGTTGCGTGTACCATCTACAAATCACCCAGCCAACCAACACCCTCTGACCCGTAGCGACCCCGGCAGTCGACCGGGAAACGAACCATGTCGGGTTTTTCGAACGCGACCTCGGATACATATGCTGGCGCTTAAATGAGTCGAGCCGGGACCGTGAAAATGACACTGGCGCAGAGCCCGCTTCATGGTGACCATTATCCACCCAATATATTCCTACATCTCGCGACGGTTTGGCTACAATAGCCCCATACGTTCGTCACCGCACACAAGTCGCCGTCGTGATCGGCGCAAATTGCCGCGCTTATTTGCCGGCATATCGTCGACTATGCATTGACCGGGAACTCACGAGTTTCTGCCGACAGACCTCCGCGCAGAAGATATCGGGCGCATCAATGAGCACGCCGCAGGCGGAGCTAAACACAGCAAACAAGAGTCTGTGGGACAACACTGAGCAGTTGCAGTATTGCTGATCTCCACTTCTGGGTGCAGTCGGCTTGGCGTTTTGGAATAGCATAATTGGATTGGCTAAGGCACTTATGACGTAGGTTTCACTCTTGCGCGGCGAATATGCAAGCGTGCGGGCGGCGATCTGGCTGCCTGGACCATGGCGACGCGGGACAAAACGGTAATGCGATAAATACGCAAGAGCCTGTGCGCACACATTATTATTCTGCAGCAGTCTCGACAGCGCATGGTTAGTGAGTTCAGCTGGCCAGTGCTGTTGGGTGCAATGCATGAGCTGGCTAATTTCATTACATGTAGTTTTTTTTCTGAAAGAGGGTATACAGCGGAAATCCCAAGCTGGGCATGCAATAGCTGGCGATGGAAGTCTCCGTTAAGTCTTGGGCAAATACCGTCAAGACAATTTTAATAGTAGCATCACGCAATGCCGACATCAAGAAGTTTTGCAGGGGTGGTGAGAGAGTAAAGGTACATTCTCTCAGACATTTTCCACACCATTGCCTCCCTCCCACTTCTTGTCAAGCATTGCTCAGCTCTTATATCAGCTGAGCCCATCCCCTACTTCAAAAGATGTTGGACTCATAGCCTAGCGGCATTGGGTACAAGTCCCAAAGAGGGTGCAGGGATTTTACCCGACTGAAATGGAAGGTTCGGATGACAACTGGCCAACGAGGGTCAACCTAGTCCCGGGCTTTGTGCGACAAGTGAAATCCTTCCGCATTTCTGTCTGGTGAAGGGGCGGAGGCCAAACTATCCGCTGAGCTGGCCAGCACGACTGAGCAAACCATGCGGAATTAAGCTTAAGTCGGGTCACCGAACGCTTCCCCAGTCTGCTGAGCGCTGACAGCGTGGTGGAGAACGTCGACCAGCTGGACATTCCGCAGGAGCTAGGAGCGTCGGCGATTCCCCGTCAGGCCAGCGTCTGCCATGGCGGTCAACAAAGCGCAGGAGCAGACAACTGGCCGGGCGGCCGTGTACCTTGATGAGCCCGTGTTTAGGTACGGGCAATTGTACGTTGCTACGTCCAGGGTGCGACGTACAGATAACCTGCGCATTGCACTGCCCACTGGTAGCATGACAACTACCAGAAACATCGTGTACAGCGAGTTACTCCGATGCGAGTGGTCACAGTGCGGAAGAACTGCAATGGAGCAGATTGGGCAGCGTTGTCCAATATTGCGCGGTACGCACGGGCTGGTTATGTGTTTTGGTAGCTGGTGCGGGTGCATGCGATGTGCCTTGATATAAGTCAATCCACTCCAACAAACATCGGTCGGGTTTGCTCAAAGAAGCGTGGACGACACATTCGCCTTTGACAATATGCGATCAGTCGTAACATGCCTCCCAAAGACCTTTCTGGGAGTCACTTCTGGATAATAAAGGGAGGTCAAGTCTTGATAGGTTATGTCAAATCCATGTTAGGTATATCCAACGTGAAGAATCCATGTTAAGATCCATATTCAAATGTCCAAGCAAATATCCAAATTAATCCATGTAAAGAAAGTTCGGCTGTAAAGATGTAAATATGTCTGCAATAGTCAAAGGTCGAGACCCCTCTGGGCATCAAAACATCTCAAAGCCAAATGGTACTCTCAAACAAATTCCGTGTCGCACGATGACGCCCTTCTAGTTTGCTATAAAAATCATGCATCGCGAGTTATTCTTAAAAGGAGCGATTCACTAGCTTGTAAACTAGAGAGGTTTATTTCGAAACAAGGGTAAGAATGTCAACTGTATCAAATGATCTTCGAGATGGATATTTCGGTTCAAAAGTCCATAAAATGTTGAGCACTCTGTTTCAAGCCTGACTAAATAGAGCATAGGTTATTTTGTATAGACTCATTGGTGTTGGATGATTATTGACCGATCAGTACTTTTCAGTCTGCCCACGCCTCATAGCATAGAACTAATTGTGTTTGCACTCCACCTGCGTTCACCATGTGGCTTTTAGCGGTTTCAAGTTTGTGATTCATCCACGCTAAATCTTCAAGAAAGACCATCCACAAATTATGCGACGCATTTTCTGCCATTTGCCTCCCCCTGGTCATGCCTTGTTTACGCTGGGTGACCCCTTCCCCTTGAAAACGATGTGTTGAATGTAACGTCTCTCAAAAGTAACGTTTCTTTGGCTCCAAACGAGTTTTGATACGAATAGAAGTCGTGTTGCTTGTCATCAATGAGAACCAGAGGTACCCAATTTTTAGGTACAATCAAGGAATTCGAACACCGGAGATACTTTTGCGGATGGCTCGTGATTTAAAAAAGATAATTTTGTTCGAGACGCTCGTCTGCAAACCGATTTAGCCGGTGTTGGGTATTTGGTGCCTTTTGAGCTGCTCCAACAATGCAATGTTCGGAAAAGGAAGGTTGTTGATCCTGCCGCAGGGAAAAATATTTTAAGGTTTTGTGGTGGCCGGTTTTATGGCGTGGGTGCATGGGATTGTCTGCAAACTTGCAGTTTCGGGTGTTTTTGCTAACCCTTAACCCTACCCAAAGGCCACCGCGTTCAAGAAATGATAGGTTATTCACCAAGCCGTATTAGGATAACTACATTACTACTGTACCGGCTAGGGATAAATAACCATCCGTTAACGATAATTAAAGAATCGTTTCTTCCTGAGACGTCAGTCCGCCATGATTGTGTTTCGGTTTGGTCACTACGTCAGCGCCAGCGAATATCTGTCGTCCCCACCAAGACACATTGGGTGCATCGGTATCTTATCAGTGGACACAGATAGTTGTCATACACCGCGAGCACGCAATAGCCGGCGTGTGCACCTGTCGCTTCAGCCCCTAGACGCAGCAACTGTCTGCCCGTGGGAGGCTGTCCGGCCAGCCGATGCCCTCAGCTTAGCTGATTTAAGAGCATGCCACGCACACTGAAAAGGAAACAGAACGAACTGAACGCAGCTGCTTTTTGACCAACACTGCAACGTCTCACGAATACCGCAGACCTGATTTCGTTATCGGTGACGCCCCTGTGGGAGAGCGTTCAGTGGCTCCTCGGTGCCCGCGTCAGGACGAGCCCGCCACACCGCTGCGTGTCCGTCCAGGCGTCGTGCGCGGGTGCGTGGCAGCCTCGCGGGTCAGACTGACAGGTGAACAGCATTTTCAGGATACCAACTGACGGAAGAGCAGCAGACTCAGGAGTTCGACTGTCGGAGGAGTGGCAGCTTTAGGAGCGAGACTGAAAGGTGAGCAGTAATTTCAGAAGTCAGGCTGACAGGTTAATAGCAGCTCAGGGGTCAGACAGGACGGGCGAGCGGCAGCTTTATGAGTGCGACTGACAGGTGAGCGGCGGCTTCATGAGTGAGACTGACAGGTCGGCGGCGGTTTAATAAGTTAGACTGACGGGTGAGCGGCAGCTTCAGGGGTCAGACTGACGGGTGAGAGGCAGCTTCAGGAGTCGGATGGACAGGTTAGCGGCAACTTCAGGGGTCGGACTGACGTGAGAGCGGCAGGTTCAGGGGTCGGATGGACAGGCTAGCGGCAGCTTCAGGGGTCGGACTGATGTGAGAGCGGCAGGTTCAGGGGTCAGAAGGACGGGTGAACGGCAACCTGACGGCTTCGTCCCACGGGTAATCAACAGCTCCAAGGGTTCTGGGATAGCATTATCAGTTGTCAGGTCTGCCATAGCGCGATGTTCTCAGGAGTCGGTCTCATGGGACTGGTTCTAGTCCTGACTTCGGATGCCCCATAATTCCTTAGTGCGGGAGATCGAAAAAGATCATGCACGACACATGAAATCATAGGCAGGGTTTTGAAAAAAATGTTTCAGGGGCTTCAGCGTGGGGTACATCAAACTAGCTTCCACAAAAGGAAATGTTTCCGATTATTGTAACCACTCTATTTTGGCATTTTTTAGAAAAACGTATTCATGTTTTAATATCCTAGTTGCTATACGAAGACCGCGATGTGACTTGCATATAGTGCTGATCTGTCTGTTTGTTGACGTTTTTCGGTAGCCTATCCGCCAAGCTGGGACTGTTCAGTAACAAGTCGAGGTGATGTAGCTGTTTAGCTATTAATTGGGGTACAGCTGCACGTTGGGTGAGTTTCAGCTACTAGGATGGATGCAGTCTGTACCTGCATATGTACCTGACCCTGTGTTTACGTCTCCAACATTGCACTTGCCCGCTAGATTTGCTTCTTCATGGGCGCTGGGAGTCCTCGCTGAGGGTAGCCTGTGGCGTGGACATAACTCTGCTGCTTGGCGGTCTAATCTAGGGATTAATTTTTCCCCCAAACCTTTGGTAAAATATTGGTGAGAGATCTTTCTCGCGTCGCATAACGCTGTGAAAAGGCCGTTTATCCGGAATATTTTAGCTCCATGATAAAGGAAACGGTGTGGTTAGTGCCAGCGCAGACCGTAGATAAAACATGCGCAATTGTTGCTCGCATTGCCTGTCATAGGATCGTTTAAGTGCTTTGGCTAACAACCTCACTGACGGTGTAGCCACGCCAACTGGCATTCTCACTTCTTTCCCAGACAAAGTTATGTGCACCACGAAGCAACGCAAGAACCACTCCATAACAACGCCATTTTAAGCTGAAGTCCTTTACCCCACCCTCGCCGTTTGCACTTATATTTCAACTAAGGTCTTCCTTACACCCTGATAAATTATTTATGTATACGGACAACAAATAAGACGGCACGGCAGGAGAGCTAAGCAGCGATAAAACTATGGATGGTTTGCACCCACAACTGGTAAAACTAACGGAACATCAGCAAAACGTATTGCAATTATTCAGCCCAGAGCATATGTGAGGAGTATGACGTGCTATTTTAAACAAGTAGTGTTACACCTGAGATTCACGAAAACTGACGAAAGGTAAACCCTGCATTCGGTAGGTCAGTCTTTATCATAAAAACACACACAAGTGCGCCCTGGTAATCGCCGGATAAATTGTAAATCACTGCACTGTCTCCTGCCTCAAAATATTTCCCTTTCTCCAGAAACACAAGGATGAATGGATCACACAGCTCCTGATTACGTCCACTGCATCTCCACCTCTATATTAAAAGATTGTCTCGCTTACCTTAAAACATAGCGCGAGTTCAATCTCACAGATGATCCGAGACAGTGTGCTGTGGGCGTTGCCGGGCTCACGTCTTGTCTGCTGCTTCGGTCTCTCAGAGTCACGAGTTGGCCTTCACAGACGAAGAAATTGGCCTCACAGTGCACTCTGACAGGGCTGTATCGTGGGAACAGGCAACAGGAGGTCAGCACCAACCAAAAGCACGCACACTAAACGAGCGAAAATAGCGATGGACAGACAAGTGACAAGTCAATTATACATCACGCCACGGAGAAGAAAGAGCGGAAAGGAAATGGACACCCGCTAACACGGTAAATGTTGGGCGTAGATCTCAACGACTAACTCTCAGCGAAGCTCTTGCAACTGCTTGCATTAGCTGAAGCGAAGCGCAGGGGCACGAGATTTGGCATCACGATACGCGCAGCTATGAACATCAGTCGGTGGCGAGCTGGGAGATGTAGGGACAGTCCTTACTTGTGAATCTCGGTAGTCGACTGGCCTCTCCTTCTCTCGTTACGCTGGACCCAACATGGCCTCGTCCTTTCACGTAATACCAATGATTGCTCAAAACACTGTTAAGAGACAAATAAAATTCCTGCATCCCAGTGACGTCATATACAGATGGTGCTATCAAGGTGTTGATGTATTTCTGACATAGCCGTATTTTGTCACAAGTGCGTCACAAGTGACATCAGCATTCTTTCCATCCCGTAATTTGGTATCCCAGGCACTTGAGATCTTCTTGACGAAATGTCTCAGGATAAATCTGAGAGTTCTAGCTGAATGAGTTTCGCCAGTCATGGTACCAGATTGCTGCCAATTCACACAGTGATAAACGCTACTAAATGTGAAGGCATGTGACGTGTAAAATGTTGTACTACAGTTAAGGGTGTTTTACCTCTGATAATGCAAAATGACAGGTAAGGCATTTTTGGAACCAAAGCAAATGATGCGACGGAGTGCTGTGGACCGAAACGATGCAAAGCATGGCTGCATTCCCCAGTGTGAAGGGGCGGGGGAGGGCGGCGAGGGACTTCTCTTTTTCCTGGCATTCAACCCCCGTATGGAAAAATGCACGCCTTGGAAAATATAGCACACAGACTCAGCCCCACTACCACCAATGGTTCCCGCTAAGGGCTTAAACCATTTGCTAAAAGGATCCACATTCTGCAGCTTCCTTTCAATTAGCTCTAAGGCGGTACAGAGTAGCCATCCAGGTCATGGCCTATCAATATAGCAATTCATCTGTTGAGTAAAGATCGGCATCTAGCGCTGGAAAAGGGCGGAAGCAGAACGGCAGAGTCTTCGTCGATTCGATACTCGAACATACTAATTTGGTTCTGCGCCCTGCAGGCCGATGAACGACTGCTAAATCATGCTCATCTGCATCTGCATCTCGCGCATAGGTATATTGTTTTCAATGATACCCGGGGAACAAACACGCGCGCACACACATACGGAACAAGAGACACAAACGCACGCAGAGAAAGCAAGATCACACAAGGCATCGGAGGTTTCAAACCAGCTCCTGAATGAGCCCAGTTCTAACGAAAGCTGTCCGGCTATACTATCCTTTCTCGACATAGACCAACGTATCCCCCAGCGCCTGGCATGGTGCGTTTTGCGTTTCATCCCAAAGAAACATAGCCTCACTATGGGGTACGATTTGTACTGGCACAGTTTAAGCGAGGCTGTAAAGTGCAGCCCCTCGCCGGCCATCTGCTACATTTTAGCACTGCTCCGCAATGCTGGCCATTTTGGCCGACCGACCAGTAGATACACGGGTCCGGCCACGAAGGCTGGCAGAGCGGCGGCGCGACGCTGCCGTTGACTGAGCGCCAACGTGCGTGGCGTTTCTCCCCCGGGGCTTGCAGGCAGCCGTGCAGCATAGAACGCCGGCCGGCACTGGTGGAGTTGTGCCAGCGTCGCATGAAGGGTCTGCAGCCTTTCCCCAGTCCGGATCAGCCCTTGCGCAGGGGCCTTGAGCCCGGCAAACTCCGTTCATGCACGGTGCATCCTGGAGCCCACCTCCGCGCGCACCGGTGAGGCTGTTCCAGACGGTCCCGGCGCGGCGGAGTCGGCAGCCATTGTCGATCCTCTTGGAGTGGTGCCGGACGCTCCCGACATGGCAATGGGCGCAAGTTACACGTTGCTCAGCGATGGGCACCTGCGTGGACACATTCAACGAGTTTTATTCAGCTAAAATAGCATTTGAGAAACATTATGTTTTCGACGTTACTAATACGCAAGTTTTTCGAATCCATCCATTATTTTCTTGCTAGAGACAATGATAATGTAAACGTATTAACTTCCGTAAAGGGAGTATCCAAACTTTTGTACTTTTTACTCATTGCTACATCAGACGCATACGAGTTGATCAACTATCCCAGTCTTCTTGAAATTTTTCTAAATAGCCAATGATTTGTATTTGGAGTAGCCGACCCTGCGGGAGAAATTGCATTTGACTCCCTGCTCACCAGCATGAAAGCAATACATTTCATTTGCCTTGCTACTTCCAACGAGTGTGTCGTAATGTTTGCAACCAAAGCCTTTTACACTAAAATATATGCGAACATGAATCTATTATCCCGCGAATTCGACGAAGCGCCATACCACGGCTTTGATTGCTCCCTTATGGCGTTCATAGCAGTGGCTTTTTTAGGCGCATTTCGGCTTTGAGAGTGGGAGCACCACAGGATCTATGGTGACGTACTGGCTCAAATTTCAACCAATGCGCTCCTTGGTAACAAGCCCCTGCCCGCTGGGCCAAGCACAAATGTCCTCTTATTCGCATCAGTAAAGAGGGGCGCGGTGGTTGTCGTAACGCTGGTTGTCGCGACCGCAGAGAAGAAGTGTGGTACTGTTACAAAGCATTGGCAGCGTAATTTGGACTAAAAAATAATCGTAATTTATATCCATATTATGCCTTGACGACACTGTAGCTACACTACCCACGGCTACTATTAGATATACCTATTTCTGAGGTTTAACTACAGGATGTTTCATGTGCCCCAAAGGTGCGACACTCCCTTTAAGAGCGGACATTACCTATCAAAATAAAATATAACTAGCTTGGAGATAAGGGAACTGGCGTACACGCCATCACTACAGAAAATGAGACGGCAATATTGTCGCGCAATATGTCTAAAACCGG